ATTCGCGTCAGACTGACCACCTGACCGGAACATCTGCTCATGCACCTCAGGTCCCAAGGTCGCGTATACTGAGTTGGGCGCAGAAGGCCTTGTCCCTCATGGGATGTCACGCCACTGAGTTAAGTTATAATATCAATTATTTTCAAACACTATGCTTTGTTCAATGCAATAAATAATAATTTTTCAACATTTAAATGGCTTAGCATACGTACAATAAATATATTATCTAGATTTAAGTGTGACGCAAATGTATGTGTGTGTGTGTGTATTCCGTATATTACACCACAGGCACACAATGCTGTAGCGGTAACTTATTAAGCCAGTAATAGCTTCCGAACAAAGGGGATCACTTTTGTCTAGTGGTATGTTACCCGGCTTCGGATTCATAGGTCGCGGGTTCTATCCACTGGATACCCATTATCATATTCAATGGCACTATTACTGGAACTCGCAATACTCTGGCTACGAGTTCGCGATCATAACCACTAGGCTACGCCACCTTGATGAGCTCAAAGTTACGATGCCTGTTTTCTAGTTTTAGTTCATGTTAAGTTGTATACGAAGTGCTACGGATGGCAGTAACCTTATACTCCGATGCAAGTTTTGCAATAAAAAAGTATTATTTCTTACAAAACTTACAAAAAACTTTTTATGGATAGAGGAAGTGAGTTATTTTGAATAAAATACAAGAGATAATTGGATTTTTTGTACTATCATTTTTAGTACTCGAAAAACCATTTTAAAAAAATATTTAAAAATAATATTTTCTTCATATTTCTTTGACACTTGCCCAAACATTGAGTTGATTTTTAAACTTCTTCAAAAAAAAAAAAAAAAAAATAGATAAATAAATAAAAAAATATTTAGAAACAGAAATAAATATCTTGCATTTAAAAGAGTCATTGTTGCTGTTTGATATGAATGCCAGTGTGATCTTCGATAAGTTTAAACCTCTCTGGTTTAAAGTCACTCCTATATAACATAAAAGGGAAAAGAGAAAAATAAAAGTAGAGAAAGACGGGAATAAAAATGCTAAAAGAGCATCAAAATTCCACTGAATGGACGAGAAGTGTTCCGAACTTCTTTATACACCATCTATAAGTGCATAAGTCTTTTAGCCTGAGGACGTCACTTCCTATTCAAATCCCATGTGGAGGTCCAGAATAGTAAGAATAACCGAGGAGAGTGTAATAATAATGAAGGAGAGAAAAAATGAGTAAAAAAGAGAGAGGGGTGGAAAAAGTGAAAAAAGTCGTTGAGAAAAGCAAGCCAGATACGTAAACAAAATCTCAAGTAAAGACAAAATACTTTTTTTAAAGTGTTGGGGCATTATCATCTTCTAGCGCTTCAAGATTTCTTGCCTAAACGCTTTCTTCACTTTACGGTGGCTCCATCGACTTGGATTCTCGATCAAGAGAGCTGTTTTAGAAGCTAGGTGAAAAGAGGGGAGAGTATGAAAGTAAAAAGAAAAGATAAAAAAAATCTTCCAACTGTCCATTACGGGTGAAGACTGTTCTACCTTCTTCGTCCCCTGTTCTCTTGGGTGACGGGGGCGTCGGTGGAAGTTGTGTATGAGAATAAAGCTCTCCGATAGCGGTCTAAATGAAGATTGATGAAGTAAGCCCTGTGCCGTGTTCAAAACAAGTAATCGTTGAGTTGTGTTGGGGAAAGAAGGTTCTGTCGAGGTGGTTCAACACCCTCTAAGACTCATCTTCAGGTAGATGTTACAGATTAAATGGATACATTTCCTTCATGTAGATCTACGTCAAGCAACATTAGCAAACCTTCGGCTCATTTTAACGATGGCAGTGTCAGAAAATTGCACTCATTTAGAAGGGAACTCATTTATTCGAATGGAAAGAAACCAAATCTAGCTGAATTAGTAACTTGAACAACTTATATGTCATGATATTGCTTAACCGTCAAAACTTTTTGGATACAAATTGTAATTGTCTCAACAAATCGGTGCCTTTAAGCTGGATTTTATACATTTTGTGCATTAATCCTTTATAAGGCGATTTTTTTCTAGTAACGTCTTGTTAAACCGTTTTTGGGATTCAAATTGATTTATAAAAAGGAATTCACATTTTTAGCTTAGTATATAAAATTAATTTGTTTTTGAAATCATTTATTTTGGGGAGAAGTATGTTTCACACCAACCAATGGGAGCTATTTAAAAGTAGCGCCTCTTATGTTTTGTGCATTTCTTTTTTATATTACATTACAAGATAGTTATAAAAAAAATTGAAAATACTATAATATACTGAAGGAACTATAAATAAGATCCCTTTTTCATTAAGAGTTTAAGAATTTATACAAATTACTTTCAATGAAATTTCAGAAAACAGGTATCAGTACATGAT